TTATATGAAGTTTTTAATACTCATATGTGACACAAGAACTTAAAATAATGAGGTTATTAGCAACGCCGTAGCTGAGAAATTTATAATTCAGAATGCACAATAAATCGCATGGCAACACAAGGAGAAAAAAATTTTATATTTCATATTGTAAAAACTTTTTATTTTTTACTTTTAATGTTTTTTTTATAGTTAAAAGCAAATTGCTTTTTAAATGAAACAAAGACCTTGGTGAATATTATAATTTGTGTAAAGTTTCAATTAAAACACAGTTACATTTAATTATGTTGTACAAGGTTATCTTACTATTTAATTAAACCAAAGAAACAAATGATAAACAATAAACTTATTAAAAAGTAAAAAAAAAATTGTTTGCTGCAATGATGACGTTTTGCGGTAGGGAAGTACAATCTTTCAAAATTATATAATTATGTAGGCGTACATATAGTCAACTTGTGTCCACACTTCGGATTGTACTTTGGAATTTTTTATTTTTTAACACCCAAAATTTTATTTTTAAATTGAAAGTTGAATTTTTATATTTTGTCAGGTTCAACTTACTTTCTTAAAAATCCAGAAGATTGGACTTTGTAAAGTACGATAAAATTGATCCAAGAAGAGCAAAGGATTAAAAGCCGCGCGATTTAATTTTGAATTCTTTACCTTTAGGTTCATTGCCGTTTGCAAATATGTAAGAAGATTGCCAGAGATGTACATTGTACAGGAATTATTTTGCATTTTTTTATAAAAAAAAATGTCTTCAATTTAGATTAAATACAAGAGTAAAACGACATGGGCATGTATATCATTAAATCTATATTTTTTAGCACTTTTCCAAAAATTTTTTGAAAAAAAGTGCTTATTAGTTTCACTCTGTCCGTCCGTCCGTCCGTCCGTCTGTCCGTGTGTCTGTTTACAAAACTTCTATATTCTTAAAGATAGAAAGCTGAAATTTAATACGTACATAGATCTTTACTAGAAACTTATTTTCGTACAACAAAATTTTTACCTATCTCCCCCCCTCTAGAAGTTATACCCCCCCAAAGCACTAAAAATGGCCTATTTTAACTATTTGTTGCAATGAAACCATAAGCATTTTTGAAATTTTGCAAACGCAGAAAGGCACTGGCTTGCTTCCCCTATCGCGGTATACTAAAGTTAAATTTTAGAAAAACAAAATGGCCGTTCAAATTTACCGTTATCTAAAGTCCTTTTTTCCAAATTTTTGATGTCGTTTTTCTTCTAGACCCCAGCCTGTAGAAGCTTGAAATTTTAGGGGCTTTTATTCATTAGACATTAACAAGTAGTTCATTTCGTTAGAAGAAAATTTTTTTCAATCTCCACCCCCTCTCAAGTTATGGCCTCTTGAAATTTGTAAAATTTGCATTTTTGACACCTTATATTCCTGAAACCGCAAGTTTTTTCAAATTTCTATAAACGCAAAAAGTTAACGGTAAATTCCATGACATTAAAAAATATAATTATTTTTCTTAACTCACACAATTAACCCTTAAAATTGAGCATTATGTTAACCCCTGTTTATATTAAATTTTGCTTTATTTCAAAGACTGCATAAATGGTTCATCCTAAATATATGCAATCCTAGAAATAGTTTCGTTTATAAATGAAAATAATTTTAATAGTGTGGTAGATATACATTGACTGTTTTTAAAAGCAGTATTTTCACTTGTTGAAGGGAAAAGTGCTACAATACAAACCATTGGTTTGACCCAACTTTATTTCAGTTTCTAGTGTAGTTTTAAAAAAGATGTTATACCGATATTGTTTAAATTCGTTCCAATATTTTTATTTTTTTTAATAAATTATTTTCATTAATGTTTTTTTTAAAAAAAGTGAATTAAATTGATTCTTATTTCATATTTTTAAAATAATTGCCAAAAAAAATTATTGATTGAGTAATTTATAAATAGGTTTAATTCGTTTATTTTTTGACTTACATAAGTTTATTTGCACTATTAGTTTCAAAACCCCAACATTGCCATTATTTAAAAATTGTATTACATATGCACAAATAAAAAAGAACGTACGGACACAATTTATTACATAGTATAAGTAACAACTCGCGTTATTTTCCTTAATTATAGTTTCCTTAGCAATGTGTGTAGCAAAACTTATAATTTCCTTAACACTACGATTTTTAAAAATCCACAATTCCTTTGCAGATTCGGTGAACATAAAAATGTAAGTAACAAACCTCCATTAAAATTTAAAACAATTAAAAAATTTTCAGTCGATCAGAAACCGACCGAACATTGGACACACGGCATAAACCGACCAAATAATTGGACACACCACTGTCAAGTCGGATGAATCTGACTTTATTACTTTTTCGAATACTTTAAAGTAGCCTTTTTAGTTCTATGGAAGCTAGCCGAACCTTTCAAGCCATTCCACTAAAGCTTCAAGGATGTTATCGTACCTAAAATTGGCCATAAGAATCTTGGAGTTGTGTGACAACTACCCGAACCAGGGCAGCCAATCCATTAAAATTTTCAGAGCATATGAAATTTGTTGGCTCTTTCTCAGCCATACAACTTCAAAAGTTATTTGGCGTTATCTCAGAAATTATTGGAATTATAATATAAAAATCTTGTGTAAACAAATATATTATTAGGGCTGTTATGTGTGATAAAAATGATTGAAATTTCTTGACTCGTTATGATAGCAGCCACACAACTTCAATAGTAGCTTGGCCATATCTTAGAAAATATTAAAAACACAATGCTGAAATATTGCATAAATTAATATGGTAATATGGCAACTTAAAGTCATAGTCTGTCCTATAGTCAGCTATGGCATATTTATACGCACATGGGATAACAAATTCGTACGGATATCACAGAGTTGGCACGGTCAACTCTATTATTTCTCGTTTTCCTTTATTTCAAAGATCGCATACAGTACTCATGCCTTCACTTGCTGAAGGGAAAAGTGCTACTTTACAAACCATTGGTTTGACCCAATTATTATTATATAAAACGATTAACACAAATGCGAACTTGCAGGCATTAGGATTAAATTATAAATGCAAATCATTTAACAACACAGATATTCTTTGTTTTCCAAAATTATTTTATAATTCTGAAAATAAAATAACAACAAGTTTTCTCATAGCTCATACTAAAATTAATACTTCATTAAAAACCGACAGGGAAAAGCAGGATATACCCACAATTTCAAGAACCTTTTCGTTAAATTATTTTGTGAGAAATCCAACGATTCTTTAGCAAAAGTGTGCCAAAATGCATGTTTGGGTTTGCTCAACATGGTGCAGATCGAACAAGCTGCAAATATAGGACAATGCAAAATAGTGTTAAGCAGTTTATGTCAAAATTTATAGTTTTAGACATACACTACTGTCACTCAGGAAACCCTGGTCAGCAATATTTACCAAGAGAACTTTCTATAAATAAGATGCCCAAAATATACAGCCACGAGTACTTGCCAAACCTTCGACTAAAAAACAGTTACTTTCAATTTATATGTAATGCTGCATTTAATACATAGGTTTAGAAACTCTGGCTACTGATATGCGCTCTATTTGCCTGATATATGTATGAAAAAAAAACAAAAATACAAAAAGATAAAAATAAGTGTAAAGATATTATGATTTAAAAAGGGATACATACGCTGCGCCCAAACATATTCTTCAATTTTGTTATAGAAGAATAAGACTTTTCGCTTTGACTGTCAGAAAATGATGGTATTATCAAAAGTACCTGATCAAGCGGCACATTACTCAAGGCAACTTTATTTATATAATTTTTGTATAGTACAAGGTTAATTAAAAGCTTACAAGGTAATTAAAATAATTAAAAATGATCGCTTACAAGGAAGCAATGAAATTGCATCTGCTATGTATCACAGATTACGCGCGGCGAATTACGAAAATGTATCTGTTGTTCGACTAATTTGCGATGGGTATGATGCACAAAAAACAAAAAAATTCATCATTATGGACATGATATTAAAATGGCCATATTTCGACGCTCCAGAACACATAAACTTTTATTTTGCTGAACAGAGTATTTGCGTTAGTAGAAAAAAATTCCAAAGTAAAAGAACAAATAATTATGCCAGAAGAATATTTTCACTTGTATGAAGATCATGACCAAGTTACTAGATTGGGATTTGAGCGTTAGAGTTTGAAACAGACATGACAACGGAATTTGCAATTTAGTAAAATGAAAAGATTTGTAGTAAAAGAAATAGTAATGTGGTCATTCGTGGAGAGACACATTACAGATCAGACTTGGGGTGCGGTAGAACTGTTCTGACACAAGGATGTCAATTATCGAATATTAATTTTGATACGTTGAAAATTGGAGCAGCGAATTTAATTATGTTACGTTATGTATACATATAGGATTTCTTTATTTTAATAATTTAATTTTTTTGGAGTGATTTGTGTTGTATTTGCAATTTCATCTTTAACAATAGTCTATTGTTTAACAATTTAAATATATTTAAAATAATAATTAATTGATGCAATTATGTGGCTTTCTATTGAATATGAATATATACAATATATTTTTATATATATATACTGTATACGTATATAATGTTTTATGTAAATCATGAAGTAATATACATATATTTATGCATATATATGTGTGCATGATGTCACTAGATCAATATATAATCAAAAGGAAGAAAACTATTAATCACTATTTCATTTAATGTAAAATATATCTACATAATATATGGAACGTTGCATATTATTGTAATTTTTATTGTATTAATTTCAATAAATATTGTATCTTCAAATATAATAAAATAAGATTAAGAGATAGTAAAATATTATACATGTATAAAATATTTCAAATATGAAACAATAAAATTTTAAATATAAAAGCTATTAATGATTTATAGCACTGACGTTTCTTTTGTTAAAATTATTTTACAAATATTACTATCTAGAAATTAAAACTATATATATACATACACAGGGTGATTCAGAAAGGTATACAACATATACCATTGGTTAGATGATCGAAAATTGATAAAACTTCTGTTCCGGACTATGTGCGAAATCTGAAGGCTTGTGAAATACAGGGATTTTAAAGAATTTCCACGAAATTTCTACTTATACAAACTTTTTTAATTATAACTTCCCTTCCGAAAAAGATAGGGGCTTTAAATAAACAGTTTTAAAGAGCTAGTACAGGAGTTGAAGGCAAAATATTACTTGATTTTGTATTTTCTGATCACCCTGTATATTTAATAATGTGTTTAATTTTGTTTAAATTTATTGCAACTCAATTTCTAGAATATAGAAACTTGAGTTAACACACAAAATCAAAATTTTATTAAAAGACGATTAACACTTATTTTTATTTGTAGAACAGAGACACGTTAAATAGATATTGTATTTTACTATGTGCATAAATATATGAATTTTTTTCATTCCTTATAGTTCTTGAGTAGCTATAACCCCTAAATTTCCGATATTTGGCTTTTTATACAATTTTTATCAATTTTTTTAATTTAGAATTTAATGTCATTAAAATTAAATGTATAATAATATAAAATTGTGAAATATGTGTAATTTGAATACATCTTTTTCCTTTATGTCCAAAATAGATAAAATTACTCGTACTTTATTAATCTTTATTAAATATTTTCTTATATTAAAAATCCTCTTAGCAGGGAACAGTACCCATGATGCCCAAATCTGATATCCTCTTTTGAAGTGAAACACTTGTTAAATGACCATAAACTGTATATAACCCCATGATTTTTCAAACCACTGCAAATGCACTCTTTTTGGACTTACCTGGAAAGAAAAAAAATAAAATTTTTAGAAATTTTATTGCGGTTTTTAAACGCATGTATACTTATATTTACATTTTTTATCGGTAATTTAATTAATAAAAATTTGTAAAAGTGCGTAATCAGTGCGAATCTAATTCAGATCCAATTTTTAATTAGCTAAAATTTGTTACTTTTCAAAAAAATTAGAATTACTTTCAATTTATCCGGTTTTATCCGGTTTGTAAATTGATTTTTCAAAATTATCTTGTTTTGGATAGAACCATTAGGAGCATTCAAAAATATTCCCGACGGATTTTTTTTTTACACTAATAAATAAATATATTTTTTTAATGTGTAAGTTAATACGTTGAAAATATCGAACCATTAAATAAATAGAGCAATATTTATCATTTTTTACTGGTTTTTCACTGTTGGACAAATAAAAAAAAAGATTCTTCAAAGAAAAAACTATATTAAAAAAAACATGTGCATGTATAAATAGAATTCACCAAAAAAACTACATTCTTTTCCAAAATTACGAGAAAAAAAATAAAAAAAATATCGCAAACATTCGAATTCCAAATTTTTAAACTTTATACAATTTTTATTACTCAAACCAAATACAACAATGTAAAAGCAAAGGAACAACACAATGTAAAAGCAAAAATACGAATTTCATTTCTTATGAAAACGGTGGAAATAAACAATTTTCGAACAAATTTTAAATTTATACAAAGAACTTTACATTTATTCACGTATTTCAATATGTTAAATTGGGACATATCCGCTTCAAAAAGGAAACACTCCAGGCCATTAATAGATGTACATAATACTATTCATATTAAGATAAAAAATTGCGTTGGTGTATGTGTAATATTTAAATGCTTCACATTCATTAATAAAATGGTAGAAAAAAAATGTTTGATTCTGTTACTTTGAAAATAGAGAATCGGGGCAAAAAAAGTCTTTCCTTACAATTAAGCAATTGGATTTGAAAAAAAATAAATTCCAATTTCAGGAAAAGTCCGCTTGCTTTATGCTGATTTTAAAATGTTGTTTATATAAATCAAGAAAGTTATAAGAACAAAAATTTGGTTATTCTGAAAACATGCTTTTATGTTATACCTACAATTGATCTTGCACCAGAACTTTTATAACATAAACGTAATTTTTGCTTATATAACATTTGTGATTGAGGTTTTATTTAAACTATTTGTAATTAATTAATAAATTGCTTAAAAACAATTATGTTATATTCGTTGTTTCTAATAATTAACCTTAGTTTTTAATTATTGAGCTATGTTGCACTCTTTATGGCAATCTTTAAAATACGAAAGTAGAATTGTGTTAAATTTTTATTTGGTTCCGGGTTATTGACGTGTGAATGAAGAAAATGTTATTAAAAATGTTTTTGACGTAAAATCCTAAATAAATACTCGTAATTTACTTAACTAACAAACTTTTATTTTATAAAATAAATTAATAAATATATTGAGTTCGATAAAATTTTGATTATTTGAGAATTTTTAATCGTTCTCTGCAAATTGAATGCATTGAATTTATTAATATTTTAAGGACGATACCTGTGACTTTTTACTTTTTGTTAAGAAATCAATCATAACGTTTATTTTGATATGCGGGTCATTGAAAAAACAGAAACTTAAAGGCTCTATTCAAAAACATTATTATTGAAAAGAGTTTACCTTAATAATTTATATTAAGAATACGCAGAATTTGAGGCAATTAATAAATAATTTATTGGACAACAAACGTGGGTTACCCCACATATTGAAGATTCATACACACACACACATAAAATATAAAATTTTCAATGTGAAATTTTTTTCTTTCTTTTGTTATCCTACAGTTTTATCACATTTTTTTCCAGAATCTTCTATTTATATTTCACTTTATAGTATGTATATGCACATATTTTTCACATTTGGTTTACAATTTAAAAAAAAAAAGGAAAATTTTTCAAAATAAACGTGACTAAAATATTTAGAATACTTTGCTTCACTCAGTAATAGTTTATACAAGAAACATTGGCATACTTTTTACATGTACAAAAATATATTTCATAAAAATTATGAAAAATATGCGTGAAAAATGCAAATTAATTCTATGTCCGTCGTACTTTTTCTAACACTAGATTTATAAGATTAACAACCCTAAATCAAAGTTTTATTGCCAAAAATTCTTGTATCTTCTTTGTTAAATGTTTAGGAACGTTTTAGAGTTCTTAATGAATTTAATTGTCATTTATATACTTTTCTTATGAGGTAATTTTCACAATGTGAACTTTAATACTGAAATACCTTAAAAAATGAATTGAGAATAAAGTTTATTGCTTTCTGGTAAATGTTAACTTCTATGAACCAAACAACTTTTCAAAAGAAATGTGTTTTTTACAAAACCTTCAATTGATTATTGACTTAGACGGCTTTTTTTATGTTCTAATTTTGTATTTTATACGTTATTTTGTTAAAAATTTTTTGTAGCTTCCTTTTTCTTTTCTAAGAACTTACAAAAGTTTTCTCTTATATTAATTTAGTTGCCAGGTTTCCAGCTTTCGTAACAAAATTTTTAACTTTTTAAAACAAACAATAACTTTTCTATTTAGATTTAAGAGACAGGGTAATTTTCATTTCTAATGAATGAAAATGAAACATAACATTTTCTAGAGTTCCACGAAAATTATTATTAATTTATACGATTTAAAAACTCAAAATAGCTTTGTTGAGAATTTTACCAAGAATTCTATTTTATAGTGGGCTACAATAATCATACAACCATGGAGAGACGGGCATGAATAAGCACATTGTTTTATTTAAATAAAACAACGATTATAAAAAACAATAATTAGTGAGATTATTGAAATCCCTTTTATTATTCTAAACCTAACTGATACCTGATAAAATATTAGCATTATTGGCAGAAAGTAAATTTATTATTGCTTTCAAGAGGGTCTTTCAATATTCACAACTAACTCAAATAACATTGTTTTAATAAAAACCAGAGAGCATACAAATATAAGTTGACTTATTTAAAACCTGGCTAATTTATAAAAGAATCCTTTTTCTCTTCAAGGAAAACAAGTTCTTTTTTTAAATTTTATCACAGATTTCATTAAACACATCCTGTTCCTTTCTCTACCAAAAATTTTCATGTTTTCTTTCGATGTTCTATTTAATATTTTCTTTCAAATTATTTTTGAATGTAGGTTCTAAATTTTCACTAGATATTTCTTAAAACAGAAAGTTTACATGAATATGTGTGACTTTAGTATCATAAGTAAAACATGTAGATATAATATGTACGAACTTAAACATTTGCTTGCCTATTTACAAAGATATATATGTACATATGTACATACATTGTGTATAAAAAGCATTTTATTTATATTACGAACATGAAGATGGTATAAATATATATACACATATCTGTGCATAATATATACATATGTATATATGCAGAGAATGAGCACTACTGTTCCATAGTAATTTTATTTTAGAATGAATTATTTAAGAGCGTACAAGTTACTTGATTTTTTTGCTGTAATATCGTATTAAAAACAAAAAGAGTAAAAATACAAAACACTCAGCTTCTTGATAACTTATGGGAATGTTAAAAAAATTTTTATTAAAGAAATACGTGTGCTTTGGAACGAACATTCAGTTACATGAAGTTTAAATGTACAAAGTAAAAACTATCAAACATGTACAACAAATTCAACATTATATGAAAAATATTCCTCCGCCCTTTTAAATCAATGAATCTCGTTTTATACAAACAAAACACAAAATATTTTAAGATTTTTAACCATAGAAATCAAAATAAAATTTTGGTTTATTTTTTGTTTATTTGGAGAAGGAGGATTTTAAATTTACTAAGATTTTATAACCAATATTATATGTAAGTAGGTACAATAACATATAGGAGTGCATACATAATAAGGTTATTAATTTTGTGTAATATTACGTACAAGTGTAGGTGTAAACTACATTTGTCAATGTTGAAACACAACATTGTCAAAGAGGTGTAAGATTGAAAATTAAGATTCTGCAAATTTTTAAACTTTGAGAGAAAAGTAGTGGCAACGAAACTGCGTTCTAGTAAAGTAAAAAAAATATTTAATGTCAAGCACATTCTTCGATTTTTATCTTTTACATTATAAGATCAACAGTTTTAAAAAATAATCAAAAAGTTTTAGATTACAACTAACGTTGAAGCTTTTCTTGCTTTTTTAATTGCATTTTAAAATTTTTCATTTTATCTAATTCTAAAGTTCAGTTTTTAGGACAGGCAAGACACGTGTATAAATAGAACATCTTAGTTTTTAATAATTTTTTATGATATATACCTACTGAGTACAATTACAGTTGTACAGTTTTTAAAAGAGTTGCGGTGGCAAACTATTTTTTATGTCAATCCAACTGAATGTTCATCTTCTTACTTTCAATAAAAAAGAAACACACGAGGGAAACAGAGTGAAAAAAGGGAGCTTAAAAAGAGCGGGAAGCAAAATATAATTACTATGTATTTTTAATGTCTATGTATCTACACACAATTACTATGATTAATATTTTGTTTTCTTTAATATCCTTAAACTCCTTGTTTTTAACACCACTTGCGTGTGCACATAATTCATCAAACTAAAAATTTTTGTTCATTTATATATGAAGTGAAACCAATGGCTCTATTTTTGAGTGGTACGAAGATGGGAAATATTAATTTCCTTTTAAATTGAATCAAATAAAGAAATGATAAATTAAAATGCGTGAGGGTGAAATATCGTTGTTAAATATTGAAAAATTCTAAAACTACTTTATTAACTATCACTTTAGTTTCTTAGAAATGTACAATTTTAGTTTTTCTTCGAAATTTATGAATAGAGTAAAAGACTTTCATTATCACTGATTCCGTTAATTCTAATATTATTCTAATAATATTTTTAATATTCAATTTTGCATTCAAAATTTTCTCACTATAATTTACAATTAATTTGTCATATATTTCGAA